GAAGCACTGGGCCAAGCGGGCCTGCACACTCACCAAGCGCACCGGGCCGGTCTCGGCGGCCAGATGATGCTCCGCTGCCGCCAGGTAGAGGGTGCCGTTGACCGACGCCCCGATCCCTTGATCTGACTCTGGTAAACACTGCTTCGCGTGAGCCAGGACCATCAAAACCAAGGCCCGAATGGCGCGCTTGCCAGGCCCCGCCACCGCCGAGTCCTGGAGGGGACCATAGAACTCGGAGACCCATCCCTCCACCTGGGCCTGATGGAGAAAGCGGTGGGTCGGGAAGGCGAAATCAAAGTATCGAGCAATGAGGATATCGGCTTCAAATCGAGGCGGGAGCAGGAGAAAAGCCGGGTCCAGCTTCGACAACGGGGCGTCACCAAAGCTGAAGATAGGGGCATTGATCGGGAGGGAGATCTGCTCTTGCAGTCTCTTCTGGGCTCGAATCAGAAAGGAAACCCCTGACGAAGGCCCTACATAGTGACCTTCCATATCGGTCTGATGTGCCTCAGGAGAGCCGCGGGAGGGAGCCTCGTTCGCAAAGCCGTTCTCTCTGACTGGCGAGGCTGATGATTCGAGGGGGAAGTCCGTGGTAGTCTCCGTCCTGGGAGGAGTATTGGGCTGTTCCCGAGGGGGAATGGGAGGGAGTTTCCCCCGGTTGTACTCGGCCGTGTAGTCGCATGATTTGCTAGTGCGCTGACAGAGGGAACAGGGAAGCGTCCCTGAGCAGCGTAGTTTCTTTCTATCATACCGACTCAGGATAGTGCTCACACAGAGAGAGGGTGAATGGAGGCCGGCCTACCGTTTGCAGGCGTCGCAGGCGCGGGTTACGCGCACTCGCTCCTTGCCACATCGTCTTTTGCGAGGGGGTTCAGCCTGAGTGTCCATGAGCGGCGTGTGCAAATGATGCGGGAGGGGTGTTGTTCGAAGATGAAACAGAGTATGAAGCAGAAGAAGAATGTAGAATAATAGTGGATGGGATGCAGGGGAGAAGATGTGAATAACGGAGGTCGGGGGGGAAAGAACAGCCCGGGAGAGAGATACCTAGATAGTGGATTAGTCACCCACCAACCCCCAAACCCCACGGGGTACGCCAGCACAGACCACCACCGCCAAGTCTGTATACGAGGGAGGGAAAGAAGTAGGCAATGGCCCCTACTAGGAAATATAAGTCTGTATCTAGTAGAGTTAGGATAGGGTACTTTCTCTTCGATGTAGTGCTTGAATTCGCTTACACTGTCGGATTCATAAATACAAGGAAGGATGCCTGAGATGGGAAGGGCTCTAATTTTATATACTGTACATATCCCCTCCTACCACTCTCGCCATTCTCCCCCAGGACCCTGAAAGCTCGGACTACGCCAGGCAGCTGCATCCACCGCTGCCGCCCGGATCTTCTCTTCATCCAGCTCGATCCCCAGTCCGGGACCGGCCATCAACCGGATCAGACCGTCTTGCACCGTCCAGACCTCGGGATTCTTGACATACGTCCCAATATCGGCCGAGCCATGGTTGTAGTGGATGCCCACACTCATCTCCTGGATCGCGAAGTTGGCCGAGACGGCGTCCACCTGCAGATTAGCTGCTAGGGCAATCGGACCCAGCGGACAGTGAGGAGCCAAGGCTACATCGTAGGCCTCTGCCATGGTCGCCATCCGACGCAGCTCCGAAATGCCACCCACATGGCAGATATCCGGCTGGAGGATGCTGACGGATGCAGATTCCAGGAATGGCTTGATGTCCCACCGACTGTGTAGCCGTTCTCCCAGCGCAATGGGGATGGGGACCAGCTTGGCGAGGGCGGCAATCGACTCCGGGTGCTCGGACAGGAGCGGTTCCTCGATGAACAGTGGCTCATGCGGGGCAAGCTTGTGGGCCAACTGGATCGCCATCGCCTTGTGGACGCGCCCGTGGAAGTCTACGCCCGCGTCCAGACCAAGTGCCTTGACAGCTTTGAGACGCTCCACCGATGCATCCAGTGCGTGGGGAGAGTCTAACCACCCCAGGTCTTCGGTAGCGTTCATTTTGATAGCCTTGAACCCTTGCGTAATTCGGGCGCGTCTAGATAGAAGTAAATTCGGGTTAGAATGACTCCCAGGCACCGAGAATGTGGCTCTTACGCTTGCACCTCAACATCCCCCGGTCGGTCACCGCCAATCCACGCATATACTCGCAATTGGTCTCGAACTTTGCCGCCCAGGATTTCGTAGATGGGCAAACCCAGTCGGCGCGCTAGGAGAGACCGAGACGGTTAGGCTCGAGTTTCAGCAACACAAGGGTTCAAGAGCCCTTACCTTTGAGATCCCAAAGGGCAATATCGATTCCTGCCAAGGCACTCATCAGGACCGGTCCTCCGCGATAGAATCCCATGCGATAGCCATTCTGCCAGATATGCTCGATTGCACTGTACCGAGAGGGGAATAGAGTCAGCAGAGCGAATGTAGGATGTATGTTTCGTTAGCTCACTTGGCATCCAGGCCGTGAAAGCGAGCCGCAAAGGCATCCAAACAGCCTTCAACTGCTTCCGTGTGCCCTTCGAGGGAGGCTTCGCCCCAGCCAGTGTTGCCATCAGCATCGGTGATCTTGACAAACAACCATCGCGGGGGGACCCGAAAATACTCGATTTGTGTGATAGGCGCCATGATTGAGAAGTGATGATGGAGATGGCAGTCGAGGAGAGGATACGCAAGCCATGTTGAAATGTAGGAGCAGTAGCATCCACAAGATGGTTGTCGCGGTCCATGTTGGAACCGAAAGTATTCCGGAAAAGGTTCACCGGAAAAGGTGCGATCGCTCGGAAAACGTGGAAAAGGTAGCCGAGTGCTCGGATATTCACCAGCCGCCCCTATCGAAAAAGCCACCACCCCGCTTCTTTTCCGAGGTAGGCGCAGATGGCGTCACTCGAGCTCGATATTGATAAACCGCGGGGCTAACAAGAATGGGCTAGATTGATTTCAGGTGACCAAGGCTCTGTTGATCTTGCTGCGTGCGTGGCATCTGTCTCATACGAAACGTTCCCCTCTTCTCACCAACGCAACACCCCATCCATCCATCTATCACCCGCAATATGGCTTCCGGACGCACTTTCAAGTTGAACTCTGGCTATGAGATCCCGGCCGTCGGGCTGGGAACTTGGGTATGTTTCTTCACCAACGACGCGACCGGAAAGATGGATACTGATAGTACGGCTATCCCAGCAATCGAAGCCGAACGAGGTGCGCGAGGCTGTCGTCGCTGCCCTGAAAGGAGGCTATCGTCACGTCGACGCTGCTGCCATCTACGGCAACGAACAAGAGGTTGGAGATGGTATCAAAGCCTCGGGAGTTCCGCGAGAGGAGATCTTCGTGCGTGGACCCTTCATCCGCTTGATCGGAATTGCCTTTGAGTCCTGGACTGACCGCGACGGGGCTCTAGCTTACCAGCAAATTGTGGAATACCCACCACCAGCCCGAACATGTCGAAGTCGCCGTGGACAAGACCCTAAGCGACCTTCAGACCGATTATTTGGACCTTTATCTGGTAGGAGGAAACAGCGGCGTTGAAGGATGCCGGATGGTGACTGATCAATGGTCTAGATCCACTGGCCGGTCTCGTTCCGGTACTCTTCGACAACCAACCAGCCGATCGTTGAGGAGACGGGCTTGATCGATGTGATTGATGTGCCGATCAAGGATACCTGGGCAGCAATGGAGGAGCTGGTGGCCAAGGGGAAGATTCGCTCCATTGGAGTGAGCAACTTCACCCGCGAGAAGATCGAGGAACTGCTCAAGACGTTCGTGGGCTCGTTTCAGGGAAACGATGAGTTGACTAACGTGTTGCCAGAGCCAAAATCCCCCCTGCCGTGAACCAGGTCGAGGCGCACCCCTATCTTCAGCAGCGGGACCTTCTGGAGTGGTCTAAACAACAAGTGAGTTTGCTGGGGACTGTGTGTGGACGGGTGGATTGACGGGTGCTGTGTCTAGGGGATTGTTGTGGAGGGATACTCTCCCCTCGGAAACAACATTTATAACATTCCGCGGTAGGTGGCGCTAAGCATTTTCCGACATCAGGTACAGTAACTAAGGTTGCTTTAGCGCGGTCGACGATGCTCTCGTCATCGAAACGGCCAAGAAGCTGGGTAAGACCCCAGCGCAGGTGCTGATCAGCTGGGCGGTTCAGCGTGGCACCGTGGTGCTGCCCAAGTCGGTCACCCCCGAGAGAATCCAGAGCAACTTCGAAGGTATGCGCCATCTCAACTTCTATCGGATACCAAGGATGTAGATCTGACCATACATTTGCCGATCTAGATTTTGTGCTGCCCGAAGAGGCGTTCAACGCGATTCAATCCCTGGAAAAGCACCAACGCATGAATTTCCCGGCCCGCTTGGGGGTAGACATCTTTGGCGAGGTGGGCGAAGAGAGTGCTCGGAAAAGCGCATTGGCTTGGGCGGAAGAGCAGAAACGATTGAAGGCTCAGGCTTGATGCAGCATGCAGTAGGATACAGTAGACAGTACATAGATGAATGTGATGGATATCCGAGTTTCTCTCAACGGCCTCTATTGTAGTAACCATGCACCCCTATACTACAGGCAGAACACGTAAAGTGCAGAAGCTGAGCCACACTGAATATTATATGGCACAACGCACCGGACTGGCGTCACTTGCTAGATAAGGTCAGTGGTGTGAAATGATTAACCTGGGGATCCTCCCTCGCGTGGGTCGAGTGGTTGACGTCCTCCTCGGATAAGAAAAGGCCAACAAGACCTCGTCGTTTCCGACAGCCCTGGCTCTTTTCCGAATGATAGGAATCAAGGGCTCACAGCCCGTGCTTCAGGCCAGCCTTACCCCGCAATTATTAGCAGCAGGAATTACCCCAGATTCTTCCCCATTTAAGCTTGGCAAAATCCTGGTCGGCCTCTGTCTTCTTGGCCGTGCTGTGGACAGGTCTGCTGGTTCTGATCTCCCCACTTCCATTCAATTTCTATTTCGCGAAAAGACCTTCTATACCCTATCAGCAGCCATGGCCGAAATCAGGAAAGATGTCACTTCCGACCATCTCGAATACAGCGACGATGGGAATACCACCAAGGGCCAGGACAGCGACCTGGTACGCGATATTCGCAACCTCCCCGACGATGAACGACAGCAGCTGGAGAAGAAATTGGTGCGCAAAGTAGACATTCGGCTGCTCATCATGATCGTGGTCATGTACATTCTGAATTACCTGGACCGCAACAACATTGCTGCCGCCAAGCTGGCCGGGCTGGAGACGGACTTGAATCTGAAGGGTGACCAGTATCAGGTAGATACACGTCCGGAGAAACATCTTTCAGTGCATAATTGACCTGTTGCCAGATCTCGGTCAGCATTCTGTTCATCGGATACTTGCTTATGCAGGGTGAGTCTAGTTGCTTGATGTTCAATATCAGCGTTTTCGGACTGATGGATCCGTGCATAGTGCCATCCAACATGATCTTAAACAAGCTGGGAAAGCCATCGCTCTACCTCCCCGGGTGTATGCTGGTGTGGGGTGTGATATCCTGCGCCACTGCTGCCACGCACAATTTCACCGGCCTACTACTCTGCCGTTTCTTTCTGGGATTCGTCGAGGCCGCCTACTTTGTATGTGGGCCAACATAACCGAAATGGCATGATTGACACCATGCTGATGACTCTCTAGCCCGGCTGCCTGTATCTGCTTTCCGCCTGGTACACTCGTAAAGAACTCGGGAAACGAACTGCACTGTTATATTCCGGTTCCTTGCTATCCGGTGCCTTCTCCGGTCTCATCTCGGCGGGAATCACCAGTGGACTGAATGGCGCGCGAGGCCTGGGCGCTTGGAGATGGTTATTCATTATCGAAGGATCGCTTACCGTAAGTGTACGGCGCACCGGGGGTTGGAACAGAGGGACTAAAAATGGGACCAGGTATTTGTCGCGTTCCTCTCGTTCTTCATCATTCCCGATCTACCACGAACCACGCGATGGTTGTCGGAGGAAGAGAAAGCCCTGGCTGCGTGGCGGTTGGAGGCCGACATTGGTGAGGATGATTGGGTAGACCAGCAACACCAATCTATGTTGCATGGCGCCAAGTTGGCATTCTTGTAAGAGCCTCAAAGATATTGAGCTTTGGAGCTCAAGGAAATGATTGCAGCTAACGCTTAGTCCAGCGATATCAAAGCCTGGCTCCTACTGGGGACCATCTACGGCTGCACAGCTTCAGGAGCTGTGACTACCTTCTTCCCCAGGTTTGTCTCTGCGTCAAACCTCTGGCGAAATAGAGCGCTGATGAGGTTTAGTGTAATGGCTGGTCTTGGAAAGAATAATATCGATACTTTGCTGCTCACGACACCGCCGTATCTGATCGGAACAATTGTTGTCCTGATCAATGCCTGGCACGCCGATTTGACAGGGGAGCGCTATCTGCACATCGTCCTGCCTCCGATTCTCGCAATTGTGTCGTTCATCCTCGCCATGGCGGGGAGTTCTTTCGCCGCACGATATGTGTATGTTCCTTCTTTCTCTGGGACTGTTAATCGGCGAGTCTGACTTGAATTAGGGCGATGTGTATCATGCTTCCTGGAATCTATTCCAGCTATGTGGTAGCCCTGGGCTACATCTCCAACAGTATGGCGCATCCTATGTCACGCGTACAAGAGCACCTTGATTGACAAGACACAGTCCTCCCCCGTCCCGCAACAAAGCGAGCGGCGGCTCTTGCCTTGATCAATTGTCTGAGTAATGTTTGCCAGATCTATACCCCGTATCTATACCCGAGTAAGTTGTCCTTTGAACATGATGAGTCAAATTTAGTCAAATGGTTGACTGATTGTTCGGATGACAGACTCGGCATCACCAAGATATATCACGGCATTCAGCGTGAACATCGCAATGTCTTCCATGACCATCATCTTTGCCACAATCCTGCGTCTTTACCTTGGACGACTGAACAAGCGGCTGGACCGAGAAGAGGGTACCAATATGGGGGCCTCGAGTAGCCAGCGACACGATAATGAAGAACATGGGCTGCCTGGTCAGGCTGTGACTCGAGGGTTTAGATTTCTGCTCTAGAGTCACTTCGGAGGTAGCAACTCGATGCTTCACTATGTGGTGATCTTGAGGCGATGTGAACTTGGCTTGTGCATGACTTCAACCCCAGGATCAGGGCTGGTGGGTATTTCAGCTGCTTATCATGTCTAGGTTACCGAGTCAACAGAGTTGAAAATGGAAAGTTTTCAGGGGAAAGCATCGGCTTGATTGACCCATTCCTCCGGGGTGATCGATAGATCAATAGAGGGACAAAACTAGCGATGAAAGTGGGGCGTAGTTCGTGTTGACGTAGAATCGAGGGCAATTCTTCCCGAGACGGAGACGCCGACCTCCGAGGATTCCACCCACTTGAGGCCCACTGCCAGCCGAGAGAATGTTATAAAATGTTAGAAAGTTCCTGATTGACTTCACGTTTCTGAGCAGACTTCGTCTCAGTTCTTCCCAAAGTCCACTTCGGCCCTTGTGGCCAGTCCGCTCCTTGAACTTGGTCGCCAGTGTCATTCTCTCATTCACCCACAATCATTTAGATATCGAATATGAAAGTCAATCTTTCTCTGTGGCCATTAGCCTGGCTCGTAGGTTACGGCATTGATGCTGTCTATGCCACCGAGATCGACGTCTGTACTCAAGTCACCCGCAATGCAGTGGCCAACGGCGATTTCACGGACGAGTCGGTCTGGACCTCGACCTCCAGCTCAGACGAATACTCGATCGTGACCAGTGGAGGTGTTCACAATGGAGGATATCTGTAAGTTGCTGCAGTGTCGTCTTCTGGCACGTCCACATGTCTTAATGTGCAATGCCTAGTGAGATACCCTATAGCACCGCGCAAAATGGATTCGTGCTGGAGCAACCCATCTCGCTGCGAGAGGGTCCGTATTACCAATTCAACATGTACGCCAACCTATTCGGAGAGCCAGATTCGAATGGGAACTATCCCTATTGCGAGATGGATGTCTATGCCGTCACTGAGGAATCCTCTCGGTTTGTGACCTATGGCTACGTTTGGTCTTCGGATGGAAGTGCCACCGGTTGGGATTTGATCATGGGACAATGGCAGTCGACGACTACCGAGGCGACTCTCCGGTTGAGCATTACCTGCTCGCAGGCTTCGACGAGCACACTTCAGATCTCCAGCGTCTCGTTCTTGGGACCGGAAGTGGTTTGTACCTCCCAGTGTGCAGCTGCCACGACCACCTTGACCGGGGAACTGGTCCAAGACGGCGATTTCTCCGACGACGAGAGTACCGTATGGCGAGACATGTCACGGAGTACCAATCTCGACTTGGTGGACGATGATGCTCCAGGAGGTGGTCAATGCGTGTAAGTGAAAAACGCAGCGTTTGACTGAGAATACTTCCTCTAATTCTGTCGTTTTAGGTTTGTGTCAGGCTCGAATTATAACTTCTACCAACTCAACCAGACGATTGCCGATGCACAAGTTGGGCAAACGTACGTGGCATCGGCTTCTTGGAGGCTTAAGGCAGATGGCTTTGACTCCGATGTGGCCGTCTCATGCAGTATCGACTACCGGCTGTCTGATGATGCCTCGGGACTCCTGTTGGATATCATTCATGACGAAGTCACGCTTTCATCCACTGATAGCGGTTGGATGACGGTGAATGGAAGCTGGGATGCCACGGTTTCAGACTTTCAGATCCTCGTCAGCATCCAATGCACTACCGACGATTATACCTATCTACCTCAAATGGAAATTGCCAACGTCCACTTGAATATTCAAACCGTGAGTTGCCCAGTACCTCCCACTTCATCAGCCGTGGTGGCGAGCTCAACTCCGGTGCGTTCATCGTCTGCCATCTCTTCCTCCGCGGCGATATCCTCGTCGGCAATTGTTAGCCCTAGCCGTGCTGTTGCGGCATCTTCGCCCGCCTCATCCGTTGTGGCGATTCCCTCAGCAGCAATCTCCTCGACGGCAATTGTAAGCCCTAGCAGTATTGTTGCTGCTTCTTCTGGGCCCATTTCACCTGGTCTGGCAGTGTTGTCAGCAGCGAGTTCTTCGTCACCAATTGCCAGTCCCAGTGGCATATCCGTTTCTTCAGCGTCCTCGGTTGCTATATCTTCCTCCACGCCTATTCGGTTGTCATCTGCTGTAGTAAGCCGCAGTCGCATTGCCGTTTCTTTTGCCTCGGAAAGTCACACTGCATTCACTCCTGTCACGACACCGGTGGTTGTCCCAGTTTCAGTTCCCGGGCCCTCGTCGGTGGTGGCTTCATCAGCGCCTCCACTCATTTCTTCATCTGCATTGTCTCTTACTCTGACCGAAGGCAAACCTACCGCGGCTCCAGTGGTGACTCCAGGTTCCTTGAATCTGCCACCTACTGGTCTCCCTGCTAGCTCCGCTGTTACTAGGACAGCGCCGAGCACGGATGCGACGACAATAATTTCTGCTGGGCCTGCCCTGACTACATCCACAGTCTTCACCACTAGCACTGCTACAATCATTGCATGCCCTTCCACCATCCCTAACTGTCCTGCCTCCAAGAAGACCACATACCTCACTACGGAAACTATTCTCGTCTCAACCACAATCGGTCCCGTTGCAGCCACTGCAACCGTCGTCGATGATGGCTCCTATACCTCCACGATCTTGACGATCCGAACGATGACGATTACCTCGTACGCTGCTAGCGTTACCAACTGCCCTGCTCGCGCCCAGACTACATTCTTTAGTACTCAGACATTGGTGGCTGGGACCACGGTCATTCCGGCTAAGACAACCGTGGCTGTCGCAGCAACGGATTCAAACCCTGCAAGCGCACCTAATTCCGCATCGCGCTATACCCACACTGCGGCGCCTGTAGCTGGTGAAGACAGTGTCGCGGGAAGTCGAGGAGGTGATGGCCTGGCCAGCACAATCAGCCACTACGAGGCAACTGCCACGTCGTCCGTGGATGACGTTGCTTCTAGCTCCAAGACTGTATCTGTCTCTACTGGAAATGGAGCAGTTTTACCTGAATTGACCTCTAGTTCGAGTGATGGTTTGACTTCAGGCTTGAATATCGGCTCAGGTGTTGGATCTAGCTCTGGTTCTGGTTCTACAGCAAATTATCTACCGTCCGCGTCGAGCTCTAGCTCTGAGTCTTCCGCTGGGGCTGGTTTTATCTCAGGCTCTATCCTAGGCTCCACCTCAGGTTCATCTGCAGACTCCTCCGCAGACTCTTCTACACTTTCCTCTGCAAGTTCCTCTGCAGGCCTCTCTGCAGAATTCTCCGCTGGAACCTTTTCCGGCTCCCCTTCACACTCCTCGGACTCTGTCCCCGGCTCTTCACTTGGGCTGTCTTCCAGCTCCTCGTCCAGCCAATCTTCTAGTCCCGTTGTCGAATATTCGTCCAAGCCTGCCTTCGACAGTGCCGGTAGCACAGGTTCTAGCCACAGCTCCGCGACCGACTCTATGATTGCCCCTGCTTCCGACTCAGGCCCTGCATCCGGCTCTCCCTCCGGAGCCCGCCCCGACACTGCCTCAAACAAGGGCACCGGCACCACCGCGCCGAGCAACCCTGACTCCACCCTTGACTCGGCCTCCATGTCAAACACCTCCCAGTCCGCACCAGGTTCTTCCCCGTTTGAATCTGAATCAAGCGTCTCGACCATTTCTAGCAATGCGTCCAATGGTGATACCACGGCACAGAACGTACCCAACCCAATGGCACCTCCAAGCATCAAGGGCAGTGAAATAACATACACATCTTCGGCTGCGGCTGCCTACGCTTTGACGCCGTCGAAATCACCGGTCAGCAAACACGTAACATCGTCTTTCGCCACCGTTAAAGCTACGGCGTATACCTCCGCAGCGCAAGGGTCGTCCAGTACCATCAGCGCTGCTGAGACCATGTTCACTGGCGCTGCCGCTAGCCATCGCGAGCACATGCCTGTCTGTGGATTGTTTGCTATCATTCTTGGTGTTTGGGTGTTGTGATAGCTGTTCCGATGGCTCGATATTTATTCGCTCTCACGTAACATGCTCCTAGGCTTCGTCCGGCGCTCAACCTCGGTCAGACTCACATTTACGAGATCTATTGTTCTAATATAATTTCACAATTCTGACCTGCAAGAAGGGGAAGGGCAGGGCGTTACTGGCATAGGATAATCGACACCGTCCAGAACATAACCAAGCGAAAGTCTGTGTAGACTGCTGGTAGTCAACCTGTGGCTGCGAAATGAGGCCCTTTCGTCCTTGCGACCAATGGTCTTAGGCCTCTTCAAAGCGACGACGGTCTGAGCATCCCCCAAGTATTGCGATGATGGTATTATCTCTGTATTATGGATAGATAGTGTAGATTACTGCCAGCAGTAAGTGTGCCCTCCAACCTGAGTTTTAGAGGCCAATACCTGGACCCCACGACGGATCCGCATCTAAATCCCCCATATTGAACCACCCGCACATATCGTGCAGAGAGTCCAAAGACAGAAGGACATCTAACTCGGAGCCGGACATTGAGGCCTCTGGCGTAGTTCCCGAGGCTTGTGTCCCCTCCCCGTGACTTAGACTGGGTAGCTCACTCGAGCCGGTACTCTCCCTGGAGCGCACATTGGCCGCCGTTACGGAAGTGAGACCAAGCACATGGCTCGCGATCGTCTGGATCTCGCGGACGTTCTTGGCGGTCCGGGGCCACAATGCGCCCAGTGTCTTGAGGCATCCGATGATCATGCGGATCTGATCGCGTGCGATGGCCAGCTCCTTGCCTGCCAACAGGCAGTAGCAGGCGGAGAGCAGCGATAAGGCGCCCTCGCTGATCATGCAGGTGACGAATGGGGTATGATGGAATTGCTGCACGGGGAGGGCTAAGAGGCGGACCTGGGCTTCGACGGATCGCAAGACCCGGACTGTGTGGACGTTAACTAACTCGGGGGTAGGGGCGTCTGGGGGTGGGTCTCGGGCGCAACTGGAGAGATCCTCAACCGGGTTGAATTTGAGGTCAGAAAACGGCCGGTGTAGGCCGATGGAGGCGCTTGTGCGGGATGGTGAGCTTCATCTGGGTTATACAAGAGCATTCTGCAACATGCTTACACGTGGATGAGTAGGTGTGCTTGATACATGAGCTCGTCGATCTCGCCGGTTTTACTCATGAGCTGCTTCCGGCTCGGAGGCAACAGCAGCAACCACGCGTCGAGTATTGAATCGGCGGTCTGAATGACTCTGGTCGAGTCTTCTTTGACTGTATTCCGTGGAGCGGTCGCAATGGCCATTGCGGCGCATCGCGCGGCACCGATCAGGTAGGTGAAGGATGAAAAGACCGGGTCATCGAGGGCGAACTCGCGGCAGTCAAAGTCTTGGAGGGTCTTGGGCGCTGGGATTACCTATATCCGCCTGAGTCCAGGAGTCTGCGAGGAAGCAGGGAGTCTTTAAACTTACACCTGACTCATACTCGTGTTCTTCGCATGGTAGTCCCGCCGTGGCCTCAACATCGAGGAATGCGAAGGTCATCGTCCCCAACGTGCCTGCGAAGAATAAGTCCAGAACATAGACCGCCCACCACGCCCGCCGCCAACACTCTTGCAAAACTCGATCCCCACCACCGTGAGTGACTGCAAACTGTGACTGATAAATCTGTAGCTCTTTCGCCAGTCGTCCTGCTTGTTCGTTCTGAGACAATGCTTGCTCCTTCTGTCCATACCAGAACAGAGCGATGGAGTAGAGGAGGCGGGACGGAACCAGGACGGGGTCGAGTGGGGAGGCTTGTGCAAGGCAGGTCTCAGCTTGCTCCTCCAAAGGGTCGGACCATTCGTGAGCATGATATATATGACCTATACAACACATGACGGCACGCAGAGGCCTCCATCGGACCTCGTGACTAGGATCGCGAAGGAGAGTTTGGAAGTGGGCCTGAGGTGGTGCATAAGGATGCAAAGAGTGGAAATGGCGGTAGTACAAGTCGAGCAGAACTGATTGATCTGATTGATCTGAATGACCGATGTGCGTCTGCGGGTGAGAAGAATTGGATGGAGGGGAGGGAGGGGAGGTAGTTGAAGTAGGGATGTTGGTGATAGTCTCGGTTGCAGCGGCGGCCAAGCGCTTGCGCCGTTCCGCCAGCGCAGCGCGGTCCAGACCCCCACGACGCGACCGGGTGTACTCGCACGCTTGAGCCACTTCGACGCAGCGACTGCAGGAGGGTCGTTTGCCGTCGCATTTGAGATGTCGACTCCGACATGGTAAGCATGCGAGCGATGAACGGGTTACCTTGGAACTCATGGTGAGTTTAAAGCTCTTTTGACATGGCGATGATGTTGATGATGGGTTTATCGATAAGATGAAGGAGGAGTGGAGAGGATGCGGGTGACTCAGCATTCGTGCCCAATGCAGACTAGCGCCGGGTATCCGGGAATCCCCCGGGAATCCCCTGGGAATCCCTTAGAAATCGCCAATTGAATGACTATTGCTGTCAATGTGTATAGCATCAATGCTAAGGTACATACCTAGTACTAGTACCCGGAATCCCGTCCACAGAATCCACTGCTCTATAAATCTACAAACGATGCATCTCCGTAGCTTCCTTGTATCATCTCCCACTCACCGAACACAGCTCACTCATATCTCAAATCATTCAACACCCACCATTCCACCATGCCAGTCAAAATCGTCATCCTGGGAGCCGGGTTTGCCGGGCTCTGGAGCGCCCTGGCAGCCCAGCGCCTCATCAACCTCGCCAACCAGACCGACAACATCAAAGTCCTGGTCATTGCTCCTAGTGCAACCTTAGTTCTCCGGCCCCGTCTCTATGAGGCAGACGCTGGCAACATGACCCACCCTCTGGGTCCCCTTTTCGCTGCCACTGGCATTGAGTTCTGCCCGGGGACCGCCCAAAGCATTGATTCCGACGCGCGCATCGTTCGTATGCAGTCCATCGATGGATTACAACACGGAGTCCCTTATGATCGTCTGATCGTAGCGACTGGAAGCTCGGTCGTTCAACCGCAAAGTATCGGCGGGCTTCGCCAACACGCGTTTGACGTGGACTCCCTGGAGTCTGCTGCGAAACTTGACGCGCATCTTGCCGCTCTCCAGTCTCTTTCCCCCAGCCCTGCACGAGATACCGTGGTGGTCTGCGGGGCTGGCTTTACGGGAATCGAATTGGCTGCGGAGCTACCCAAGCGACTAAGTCATATTGCCAATGTTCGGGTCATTCTGGTTGATCGGGCGGAAGATCTTGGCCCTGAGCTGGGGCCGGGACCGCGTCCAGTCATCGCGCAAGCCTTGGGCGAGGTTGGAGTTGAGTGTCGATTGGGCTCCGGAATCCAGGCCGTTGATGCGGATGGAGTCACCCTCATGTCCGGAGAACGCATCGCTACCAGAACCGCCATCTGGACCGCTGGGGTTCGGGCCACGCCCCTCACTCAGCAGATCCCGGGCCCCAAAGACACTCTCGCACGAGTCTTCGTTGATGAATGGCTTCGTGCCCCGTCTGCCGAGCATATCTTTGTCACTGGGGATGCTGCGTGCGCCACGGCGGACAGTGAAGGGCACTACGCCTTGATGTCCTGCCAGCACGCCCTGCAACTGGGTCGGGTGGCGGGTCATAATGCAGCAGCAGATCTTCTGGGCGAACCCATGGTGAAGTACTCCCAAGCAGCCTATCTGTGTTGTCTGGACTTGGGCGGTTGGGGTGCGGTGATCTCGGGTGGCTGGGAGCGGCATGTCCAGATGTCCGGGGAAATGGCGAAGCGCGTCAAGTGCTACATCAACCAGAAGTTGATCTACCCACCTGAGGATGCCGATGAAGCTTTACGGGCTGCGAACCCAGTTGGTCCCGGCTCAGACGAGTTGCTACAGCAGATTCTTCAGGTAGTCTGACGGGGCGTGCCGTGTTCTGTCACGATAAATCGTCTTGCTTGATTTTTCATTCATGTTCTTTGTGAAATAGCTTTGTGTAATTATAGTAAGATAGGATGATTTCAGGATTAGCTATACGAAGCTCCAAGATGCTGGGTAATCGTCAATTAGAGTGGGGTGGGCTATTGCACTCGATGATAAAGAAGGCTGAACTCCTAGTCATTTACAAGTCCCTCGGACCAGCCGTAGGCATTGAATACGGTCATCAGAGGGAGTGCTCAGGTTCCCCGTAGTAACACGGATTGGATTCCATTGGCAAAGAGCAACCTCGCGTACTGGTAATGGAACTGTTTCAGAATTTCAGAGCCGAAAGGAACATTTGTCTGCGGGTTGCACTGGAACGATTGGAGCCCAATCTGCACCTGGCTTTCGGCGCTTGGGTCTGTCTTGCTCGGGCCTTCCCCGCGACTACCTTCAATTCTTGTGATTTGGAATCGGTGACAGCCCGCGAATGAGGACTCATCCGACCCAAAGCCGTAGTCAATCCAACTAGTAGCTCGCCGACCGGGCTCGGCCACTTCTGACTCAATTGCAATGTGCTTGTCTAGAATCATGAATGTGCCGAAAAAGCAGGTGCCCACGGGATGGAGGCGTGAGTCGGAGACATGCGCCCGCCGCCAGAGGGTTTGAGCCGTGTGGCCCACTCTCATAAAGCCTGGGTCATCATTTCCTTAATGAGCTCTCCCATCACTCGCTTTGGCTCAGGAGATACGGACCGGTATACCCCACGGGTAGAATTCTTCCCCCAGCAGCTGTCAACAGCAGCCACTCCGGGGCAAAAACGAAGCCACCAAAAAAGCCGCTCGTAAACAGTGCGAGGACTCGCTCGTCACTGATGCCAGCTACAGCGGCGGCAGGAATGGTCTGGGTGATGCAGTCGGTGCCTACGACGTGCTGGCGTGGGTTGGCATAGGACGAACTGAGTGAAGTGAGAAACTCTGGGCGCACCGCTGCCGTCGAGGAGGAGTGAAGGAGGGAGTGGAAAAAGGGCGAGCGAGGGATCAATCGGGCAGACATCTCTTATCACATGTATCGATATGACCCCTGGTACAGTATTGATATGGTTCTCTATTTGTACTCCATGGATCCTTCCGATTCTACCCGAACCCCCTTCCGGCTTGTTATCGACATGACTCAGAAATGGCGGTGTTGGCCACTAGTTAACTATTCGAATGCTTATAGACATAAGGCTGAGACTCAGGACGAGATATAATCACACCTTTCCCAAACCTGTCCGCAGCTCGTATAATGGACTTATGCTTCAGGCTCATCGCGACCGGGGCAACGCAAGGTCGTATTCGATCCACTGCTGGGGTATTTGTCCCCTATCCCCTCGATGTCTTGGCGCCGCACAAGCTCGAATCCATCATTGATTAAACTCGACTCTGCTGACTATCATGCACCAGTCATTAGATCAAAGCAGTATGTAATAGAGTAGTATATCATTGAAAGGACCCTCAATGGCCTATGGGCCGAGTTTAGTGCAAGATACTGACTTGGTGCCTCAACACAATTGTATGCAAACCTTTCCCGGCAATGATGGTGCCAATTACCGGCTATGTATGACTGAACGGTGCATCTTTGCCCTAGCTCGTGGCAGTCCCTTCGACAAGACCTCGTCACGAGTAGGGATGCCAGGCAGGAGGGAGTAATTGGCTCTGCGGCTAAGCTCTGGGGTTGGCGTGAGGGGAAGTGGAGAGATTATGCTTAGAGTCGATGAGAGCGTGCATTTATCCGGCTGAAATGCGGGGGACTCGCCATTGTTTCGCAGCTTTGATGCAGGTCCCCTCACCTTATCCTCGCTTATCCGGAAGCAATCTAATTTCTCCATAAATCACGCCTTCCATCAGCCCATGCCCTGACAGATGGTGTCAGTACCTGAAAGTACCTTGCAGCTCTGCAACCTCTTCCCTGAGTAATTTCCCGGTGGACTCTGCCCATCATGCGGGGTTTTGAAGTTTGCATGCATAGAGTCAGTCACACTCGCATGTCGCGGCACATCAAGGACGTAACCTAGCACTCCCAATGAGAATATATTCAGCAATGCCCCATGGAGAGTGTTTGGTTTGATGGTGGGTTATACGGAGCGCACCGAAGTATTTGTCTCACCATCATGCATCTTGGTTCCCTCTCAGCCTGGGCCATGACTTGGCTCGCGGGTCAGGCGCTGGCCATTGACCTAACCGTGTCTAAGACTGGAGGAAATGCATCCAGCCCTTTACTATACGGCATCATGTTTGAGGTCAGTGATGATAGTCTACCCGGCGCTCCGGCTACATACTAATTCCGGATTTTCCTGCTCAGGATATCAACAACTCAGGTACGATGTCGTCCAATTCATCCATCATGCCTCCGGGTCTTCTCTGCATCAGCTAATTCGAATGTAGGCGATGGGGGAATTCATGGCCAGGTACTTCGCAACAACGGGTTCCAGGGCACCAGCCCCGCACTGACTGCCTACGCCGCCGTAGGCAATGTCAACATCACACAGGATACTTCCAATCCTGTGAGCAGCGCCATCACCTCTTCCCTCAAGGTCACAGTCCCCGCCGGAGCCACTGGCTACGTAGGATTTGCCAACACAGGTTACAATGGGGTTCCCGTTCTGGCCACCACGTACAGCAACTCGTTCTACATGAAAGGCGCCTACTCGGGGACGGTCAATCTCCGGCTCGTGGGAACCTCGAGCGGGATCGTCTATGCAGACCACAACATCACAGTGAAAAGTACTACCAGCAAATTCACATCCTACGAGACGAGCTTCAAGTCTAGTCAGTCTGCCGATGCAGACAATGAGTGGCAGTTGCGGTTTGATGCTACGAAGGTGGCTGGAAAGTCTCTTAATTTCGGCTTGGTGCAGCTTTTCCCACCCACATACAAGTCACGGTGAGTCTACCTAGTGGACCTTAGTCCGAAACTCCAGCTCGACCTTTGTCTAACCAAATTATCTCGTTGCTGTGCAGACAAAATGGGTTGCGAAATGACGTCGCCAGCTTTCTTGCGGAGATCAAACCGTCCTTCCTGCGTTTCCCGGGAGGCAATAACCTGTAGGTCCAACGGTCGCGAACCGGGATATTCCGTGGTACTGAGTCCTATCCTCTGTACAGTGAAGGAGCTAGTCCCAGCAATCGGTGGAAATGGAATGAGACTATCGGCGCTGTTGTCAATCGACCAGGTCGCCAAGGTATGACATATCTCCTTCGTTCTATGAGCACACAGTTGGAGATCTAACTAATGGCTTGCAGGCGATTGGACTTACGCAAACACCGACGCACTGGGTAAGTTTCTCAGCACTGCACGGAAGAGATTATGCTAAGTCAACCGTAAGGCCTCGACGAGTATCTCTACTGGTGTGAAGACATGGGAATGGAGCCAGTTCTTGCCGTCTGGGCAGGTCTTTCTCTGGGGGGAGGTATCATCTCCGGTTCAGCATTGGACCCGTACATTGATGATATCCTCAACGAGCTTGAGGTATGTCGTTAACATCGAAGTTCACTCCACTCGAGCAACTGACTCTGAGGGCTACTGTAGTACGTGCTTGGCTCTACGACGACGACATATGGTGCGATCCGGGCCAGGAACGGCCGCACGGAGCCCTGGCCAGTGAAATATATCGAGGTAGGCAATGAAGACAACGTGCAAGGCGGATGTAGCACCTACGCCAGCCGCTTCACGGCAATCTACGATGCAATCCATGCCCAGTATCCCGATTTGATTATCATCGCCTCGACGACCTCCAGCTCTTGCCTCCCGGCGACATTGCCCACGGGGGCCTACACCGACATCCACCACTATCTCTCGCCCGACTCCTTTGTGGCCCTTTTCAACGAGTTTGACAACTATTCTCGTGAGCATCCCCTTCTAGTTGGGGAATACGCCAGCACGACTGGTAATGATGGGAGCACCACCTACTGGAGCTACATGCAGGGCAGTTGTGCCGAAGCCGTGTACATGATTGGTCTGGAACGCAACAGCGATGTTGTCAAGATGGCGAGTTTTGCGCCCTTGCTCGAGCATTTTGACATGGCCGAGTGGTCGGTAAGTACTATCTTATGCGTCCTTCCCCATCAAATGTATCCACGGTAGCTAATAGAACGTCTCTCCGCGCAATAGCCGGATCTTTTCGGTCTCGATTCTAGCCCTGATTCCATCACCGGCTCAACCTCATTCTATGTGCAGAAGCTATTCTCTACCAACCGGGGGACCACTATCCTCCCCGTCACAAGCACTGCAGACTTTGGACCTGTCTATTGGGTCGCTTCTGTGTCTGAAGAGAAAGTCTACTATGTGAAGCTGGCGAACTACGGGTCGACGGCCCAGAACGTGACGGTCAATATTGCGGGAACCACCAAGGGATCCTTGGAGTTACTGTCGGGTGGCGAGCTCGTGAGTAATTATCCGCACGATGTGTCGATTACTCCTACCACCTCGACTGTGACGGGTCGTGGCAGCTTTACCGTGAATCTGCCGGCCTGGGCGGTTGCCGTTCTCGCAGTATCGTGAAGCATCGAGTTGGTCGATTATATTGAATGTACTGGAGCTTGAACATGCCGTAGCTTGGAAGAAGGAATGAGGATTGGGAATATCAAATGCTTTCATAGGGACATAATCCAGCGAGCGGCCTAAGCAATACGTTGTCTGAAATACATTCCCATCAGCCCTGGTTCATGGACGAGATTTGATCGTGATGCTATCTACCTGGCTATCTACAACTTTGCCCTCACTGCACTCTGGCTTTCACCAGCCTTCAACCTCTTCCAGTAGGCCTCCTTGGCCTGCAAGATCTCAAACGCCTCCTCCGCCCACCGGTCCTCCCACGGCGGTAGTCCGGCTCCCTCCCCGGCAAGATCCACCAAAAAGTCAAAATACTCCTTGAAATCTGGCTTGATCTCATGGAAGCCAACTCCATTCCCTTTACTTTGCAGGCGCTTGAACTCCCAATGATCCTGCTCCGCTTTAGTCGGGAGCTCCCTCGACCGACCGGCGAAGTAGCGTGCCACCGTGACGGCCTGATACTCGTAGACGCGGAAACTAATGGCCGCCCGGACCTGTCCCACCAGAGCCAGCGAGGGGTCGGCAATGCTGAAGATATGCTGGTAGAAGCCTGCCACCCGATTGTTCGGGGTCACAGGGTCGGGGATGAGAAAGGGGTAGGAGGCTCGGTAGCCGGTGGCGAAGATGATTTTATCGACGGTCAGCGAGGTGGCATCGGTGAAGTGTGCGGTAATGCCTTGCTCGGTGGTCGACACGTGCGCAATGGTGGGTCTGCGTTGGACATTCGGAAGCGTCCAGGCGGGTTCGAGGACGGGGTTGGACCCCCGCTGGCTGAGATACAGCGGCCCTGCCACGAGGGAGTGGATTTCGGTGACGATGTCTGCGGCGGAGACATTGCCTCCCACCACCAGAACGCGCTGGTTGACGTAGTCATTGGCGCTCCGAAAGGCCTTGGCGTGCTCCAAGGCACGCGGAAACGCCTCCGACGCCGCCGCCAGCCCGGGAATCTCGGGGATGTTGGGGACGTTGTAGTGCCCCGTCGCCACGATCACGGCATCGAAGGTCTCAGTCCACCAGTAGTCTTGAGGGACCCCGCGGTAGAGCTGGCCGGATCTCCGCAGGGTGAGTCTCCATTCCTCGCCGATCTTCTCCACCCGTTCGACTGTCGTCCGGAGCGAGACCAGATGGAGGTAGGGCTGGAACAGATCCTCGATGTAGTTGGCTACCACGCGGAATGGACGAGAGGCATTGGCGGGTCCAAATTGTCTGATGGAGAGGGCCGAGTTGACCTCGGGAAATGGAGTGTGGGTGAAGGACATGGCTTTAGCTCCGACATTACTGTCGAGGTGATCATAGATGCCTGTGCGGGCAGTGGGGTTCTCTGGCAGAGAAGGGGTGAATTGAGGGAGAGCCGAAGGGGCTGGGCTGGGACCATCGAGAAGAGTGTTAGGGCTAGGGAAGGGATCCGGAGTCGCATCGTAGTGCCAGATGCCCCCAACACGGTCGCGTCGCTCAAAAACCCGGATCGTGTCAAACGTGTTTTCATCATGGAGAGCTTTGACAGCTGACAGTCCCGAAGGACCAGTGCCGACCACGGCCACGCGACGAAATCGGGGAGGCATTGTTGGCTGCTGACTTCAAATCCTGCGAGCTGCACGCGACATTAGACGGGATGATATGATGCACTAAGTACTCCTATATATATGGACATCTTGTGTTGGAAAACCACAACAACAACACCAAACGTCAACGGTATCCATCCTGTCGCCATTGCATCCTGACGTGATTAACATGGCAGGTTAATGGCCAATTCCTCATGTTTGCGAGGGGTGATAAGACCTAGGGGGTTTCTCCAATGGTGTCATTTCTGCAACCATCACACAACGGGCCAGCCATCCCGCACCAGCCACACTCGTACTTTGTCGCAGATCTCCAGTAGATTACTCCAGTCATTATGAACATAAAGAAGAACACCAGCCAGCAAATTAAAAAAAGGGTACAAAGGAGTGAGTGGTACTCCGCGTCGCCCAGAAAGATATATAACCCTGTAGTCTGGGCACAACTGCATGCCTTGCGCAGCATCGCCACCAATAGCCCCATCTCCCCCATCTCCCTCTTCTGCACTGTAGAGCGACAACAATGAGTGAGGCAATGAGTGAGGAAATGCGTGAGGCAATTGCTGCGGCACTTGCTGAGGCAACGAGGGAGGCAGGGATTGAGGCTCCTCCAACCCCTTATTCTGGGACTTACTACCGCGTTGGACAGTCGTCCGAGACCACGCGGTATGGGATTATCGGGGGCATTCTGGAGATCGATGGCACCCACTACGGGCTAACGAGCATGATTCCATTCCTGTATCGCCGCCACCCATCTCAGCCGCCGGCCCTTTCGCGTAGCGCGATCTATAGCGTCGAGACCGAGCAGTACATCGGCGGCCCTCCACCGGACCGGGCCAACGAGGCGGAGCCCGACCCCCGGTTCTGGAGCCGCGAGCAAGGCTGGGCCCTGGTAAATCTGGGCCCCAAGCCGGAGCATTGGACCAACTATTGGTACCATGATATGACCCCGAATCAGGTGGTGACGCCGCGATGGCCCGTTTCGCTCTGGAGAGGGTTTATCCCATACTACCGAGCCCGCCGGTTGATTGGGTTGCTGTGGGATTCCTGGTTGGAGCCAGTGACTTTTCGAGTGACCAAATATGAACTACTTCGTAACCTGCTGGTAGGCCCTGTCAGTGCCTACCGGATGAGAATTTCGATTCCATGTCATGACTTGCTAGGCGCGTGGGTGGTGGATGCGGAATCCGAAGCTCTCGTAGCGATGGTTGTAGCCGGCCCACGTCCATCAGAGGATCCGCGGACGGTGTATGCGGTGGATGCGACGACCATCTTGGATGAGCTGGCCAGGCGGTTTCCGGGAGTGAGCATCACCATTCCGAATCGCTACGAGTAAGAGGAATAGAGGAGGGCATAAAAAAAAAGAAAAAAAAAAAGATAGTTTGCAATCAAAGACAAGTCGATACCCATGGCCCATTGAATGAAAATTGCATTATTGTATTTATTGTGTAAGATGGAATCCTAAGTTACGGTACTGGCCGGGAAACTGCCGAAGACAAGACAAGGGAGGGTCTGGGCAGTGCCAACTTACCTAATAATACCCGCCCAGTTGCTTATCGCCTCCGGTAAGTGGGCAGCTTTTCTCTTTTCCCTCGTGTCGATTTCGCCTACTAGGCTAGGCTACTATCAACTATCGCAACAATTGAATGATGTCCGACAATTCAACTACTGTCACCCTGGCCCAGATGCCTCAGCAGAATCATCTTTGGGTTCCTGAGGATGACTGGACCGGGGTGGTCGACCGACAAAAACGACGCCGTCTGCAGAACCGATTGAATCAGCGCGCCTATCGTATGTACAGTATCACCTTTCTCAACGTGATGATCATCTATTCACCTGCATTGTCCGGAATTTCAGGCATGAAGCAGAAAGCAATCAATCAATCCTCTGCATCAGAAGGCGAGACTACTGAGTCTACGTCCAATGTCTTGGTCCAGGCCCGCAATATCACCACCACCACCACCACCGCCCACTCAACAGACTCCCCACGGTCGCATTCACCCAATGAGACCGATGACAACGATCTGGATTGCCATCTCATTCCTCAAGGCGCCCTGCAATTCCGGCGGCAGTTTGAGGTAATTGCTCGGCAGAGCTTCCGCCTGGGCAGTCCTCAGATTGAGCACTTGGTCAGTCTTCGCCGCCTGAATGTCCACCGCGCCATCAATGAGAACATCCGCGCCCTGGGCATGACTCCAGCCTGGATGCAGCCGGAGGATGCGCTGTCCATCTTCAACTTGCCGGTGCCGGGCTCTTCGGAAGCACAAATCCCCCCGAGTCTCCAGCCCACCCCCATCCAGCGCCTCGTGCCTCATCATCCGTGGCTGGACTTCTTCCCCTTCCCCCGGATGCGCGAGGTCATGATTCTCGCCGGAGACCGGCTCGACGAGGATGAACTGTGCCGGGATCTGATGGCCTTCTGGGACACTCACAACACGGGGGCCTCTCTCGTGGTCTGGGGACCGCCGTGGGATCCCCGGAACTGGGAGGCAACCGAGGAATTCGTGCGCAAATGGCGCTGGCTACTCGTGGGATCGCCCGAACTGCTCGTCTCAACCAATTGGTGGCGGGCAAGGAGAGGAGTTCCTGCGCTGCGTTGGCACCAGTTAGGGTTACAATGATCATCTAGCCACCCGGCCACCTAGCTACAACAAGAACTCATCATGCGCCCAGGATCAACGCTATTGCCATCTCTAGAGCTAATGCAGGAATAAGTATCGCCATTTAGATTTCTTCTGCCTTTGGACCGTGCGACGCAGATCATCTCTGGGCTGCCACAGGCGCACGCTTTCTGGACACCGCGCGGTGACGAGGAGTACTGCAACACCAGATCAAGACAATCAACACCCCAAGAACAAACCCTCCTCCGATTCCGGAAACCAGTCCAATCACCAGCGAGCGGTAGCGATCAAACCACGAGTCCGTTGGCTGCCGATTGTTACAGCTGTCGTCTTGACATTGACTTCCATGATCCCCCCGACACCGAGCGCCTGCCCCCTCCCGGAAACGACACGTGGCCCCATCACAGCAGGCGTCGTCCTGACAATGTCCACCACAGTCGCACTCCTCCCCTTCTTCGACGATACCATTTCCGCATCCGTCTGGTGTTATAATAGTCAGGTTGCGGTCGCTACCATCGGCAAGGCACGAGGTCTGCACCCGTCGGTTGCCGATCAAGGAACATATGTTCCCGATGCTGCAGGGTGAGAATGTGGTCTGTCGAGAAGAGGAAGATGGGTTCATCAGATATGCACCTGATGCGTCACATGTGGAGGAGGAAAAGGGGCAGCATTGCGCGCGAGACGAAGAGCAGGCAGGGGATTCGCAATCGTGAATCGCTCCAAACATATGCCCTGATTCGTGGCTGTTGAGATCAAAGAACCGTCAGCATGGATCGGACTAGCAACGGACTGAAGCAGGAATCAGACACTCACGCAAAGACCTGCCATTGATTCACAGTGCGCGCCACGACGTTGGCACCTTGATTGATGTTGCACAGCCCCCCGACCAAAGACACACCCACCACATTGTTGGTGGGACAGTTCGTCATCAACGTCCAGTAGGCATTTGCCCCGTCTTGGGACTCTCTCCAGGAGGCAAACTGTCGGAGACGCCAGTCTATATCCCCCGCGGAACACGGTACGTTCCAGGGCGTGGTCTCAGGAGCGCGCTCGGGGCAGGCTTCGTCACTGATGGTGAGGTTTCGGATGGCAAGAGAGACGTTGAAGGTCTGTTCAAACACTTCCGAAGCTGCATTGACCATGCTGATTAGTACTCGCCGCATTTCCTCACTCGACCCAAACGCCTCTCGAAAGGTGCAATCCGCGGCCAAGCCAATGAGAGCAATCCTTCGCGAGGTGGGACATCCGGCGGTGCTGCCTATGTGCTGGAGCAGCTCGTCGAAATTTCCCATGTACTGGCGCAGGGAAAACCGGTTATGCGTCACTACTCCTGCGGATGCCAAGACGGTGAACTCTCCAGAAGCGCGAGTGTGCTGCACCGTGCCTCTAGATAAGTCTTGCAACTGGTTTAGGGCTGCTTCAGGCGCGGTTATCTCCACGTGCGTCAAAAAGGTATTAACCAAGCCATCCACGGCGGTGACGGCTTTAAGATCATAGTACCGACCAAACAGATTTACAGTCCCCTCGAACAACGGGCTGTCTCCATCACGAATGAGATATACACGGGCTCGGCCAGCTGGATACCACGAGCTATTGGTGGAAGATACCCAGGCATCGCCATAGAAGACTCTTCCTTGGTGGTCGGCAAAGGACTGAACCTCTTTGAGCCTTCCACTGCCATCGAGATAATGAAGGCGGGCATCTTTCGAGATGATGGCACGATTGGGCTCCAGCTGCAGTCGGACTCTGCTATCATATCCGTCAATCGCGAATGTGAGGTTCAATTGTTCTGCTACACTAGCATCCTCCGAGAGGCAATGAAGGTCAATCTCTTTCACTCGGACTGCACGTTCTACTCTGGGGACGTGGGTTGAGTGACCTAGTCAGGTTAGCCGGCTTCGAGCGACGCGGGTTTGCGACTGTTCACTCACTTGTGGCCGGATGAACAAGTGATACGGCGAACAGGAAACAGAGGACAAGGCAATGGAACATGATTGATCGAAAATGGATTGAGACTCTGACTTGTCCAACATCTCAAAGCCCCTTCTTAAAGCATCGAGCCGGATACCAAAACTAGACCACAAAACGGCTCGGTGACTGCGGAACCCTTCTTGGGACCGCCATTTGCTTTGCAGTCATCACAATGTGAAGCAAAGTGCTTAGGCAACACAATTCTTTGTACACAAACAATGTGGTTGATGCTAATCAATGCCGATTTTCTCGGATTCTACTTCGGATACCGTAAGCCGTCTCACTAAGCCGTGGCGCCGCCAAGCACGGGTATCAAAGGCCCAGTTGAGGGTTAAGCACAGCCTCCCTTGAAATGTCCAGTATCTTTGCGACTCTCAGCAAATGGCGTATTGATTACAAACCAGATATGACGATCACAGCCTAGAGGGTGCTTGATAGTGATGCAAGCTAGAAGTTCCCAGTCGCGTCTGCCAAGCGGTGCTGATGGGCGTTGAGGGCGTCGAGAGGCAGTGCGCTAGTCACCGTACCAGGGCTGCATCCCAAGAGTCAGCATATGGCGATGTGCCTCCGTCTTCGGTGGAATCTCGGTTGGAGATAAGGTAAGGCGCTAATGCAGCCGGCTTACGCCAAGAGCCCCACTTGAACTCATTTTCTTCATTTTTATCGGTTGTCTTCCATGGTAATCATGAAACATGCTGACATCCCCAACGGATTGACATCCCCAAAGAACCAATGAATAATGTATCCATGGTGAACTATACATCTTTATTGTTCCGCAAAGACCCTGGATAGACGCCTATTTACACAAACAAACCCGCCGATACCGGCGCACTCAGCATCTGCTCGGTCTGGATCTCCCCGAGCAGCGCATTTCCCGGGTAATCCTCCAAATCCAGGTCCATGAAGCCCCTGGCTGCCCACTTTCTCGGCGTGACGAAGAACGAATGACCATTGACGGTGGGGTCACTGAGCACCCGCAGTAGGCACTGCCCGGCATCTTCAGTGGTGGCGAATTGCACCCCGGCATTCGAGACGTGGGCGAACGCCTCCTCCGAGAGGATATTGGTTCGAACGTACCTAGCGCCATATGTTAGCTCACGCCATGACGCCATTTACAACATGGACTCTTCTGCAACCTACCAGGGAGAAATCACGTTGATGCGCGATCCGTAGTAGTACGTGGTCTGCCGCAGCGAATGCATGATCCCTCGCATTGCCCACTTACTCGCGCTGTACTGCGGTCCCCGGGGACAGTCCAGGAAGGCTGCGCCTGATCCGATGAGAATCAGACAGGTATCCTCCTGCTCATGGGTGGGTATGGTGCCATTTTGGAGGATGAAATAATGCGCAGCCAACTTTGCCGTGTACAAGGGGCCCTTGATGTTGACGTCGATGATACTCAGATCCGGCTCGGACGGTTCCTGGGCAAGAGGAGTTTGCTGGAAGACTTCGTCCGGGCGATGGATCCCGGCATTCGCCACCACGTAGTGAATGCGGCGGGTCGGGGACCAGGCCACTGCCTCGTGGAATAGTTGCTCCTGATCAGGCCAACGACTAGCGTCGCAGGCAACGAACTTGGTTCTGAATACGACTCCCCGTCAGAGACAGACAATCCTTGAGCCAAAATGATCGGACGGAGCATACCGGGCGAGCTCTTGCTCCAGCTGTTTGCCCTTATTTGGGTCAATATCGGCGAAGCACACATAGGCCCTGGTATACGAGGTTTAGCTGCCGACTCTGAATGATGAGAAAGGAATTCCAGGCTTGTCCCCACCCGGCAGCAACCAGCGCTCGCACGTAGGCTTCACCCAGCCCACTAGCCCCTGTTCGTTCATCAGCTCAGAGATGGTCGGACAAGAAAAAGGTCTCTACACCAAGTACCTCCGGTGACAATGGCTAGCTTGCCTCTCAGATTGCCGGTGTCAAAGCCTTGGTCGCAGCTGACCGGCCCGGTATGGACGTAAGGAGTCATGTCAAATTGACGCTTGGCTGGTGGAGGAGGACGCGTAGGGGAATCGTGGCTTATTGTGGATTGGAAAAGTAACAAGAAGAATGAGGCGCAAGAACTGGGAACGGCCATGCAAACTGGCCTTTTATCACGTTCGGGTCAACCTGGGTCCCTTGCCAAGCTCGCAGCTGACCTAGAATTGCGCGCTTCGGAGACCCTGGACGGTTAGGGCTCCAGGGGCGAGTGTCGCCCCGCATGTCAGCAACTTGCATCAAGGAGCTGGGGACACACCTCTTCTACTGAGGCTAATGACGTAGAGCAACGAATTGTAGATTTATAAGTATGCTGGTCGAACCGGTCTATTGTCCTACCCAAGAGACACCAACTCATCTTCTCGTTCTTTGACCTTTCGAATCAACGGAATCACCATGAAAGTTGCAGCTGCTCTAAGCCTTACACCAACTCTGCTGTATCTCCTGCCAGCAACCGCCCAAAACATGTCCTATGGTGCCGACAACTTCTACCGGAGTGACAGCGTGACCCTCCGGCCCATTAGCTTCAAGAACCAATACCAGATGACTGTGGCTGCGAATCTCTTCGTCCCCCACAACCTCACTGAGAACGGGGGCGCTGCACCAGCCATTATCGTCGGCCATCCGATGGGGGCCGTGAAGGAGCAGAGTGCCAATCTGTATGCCACCAAGCTCGCCGAGCAGGGCTTTGTCACTCTATCTCTTGACCATCAGTTCTGGGGAGGTAGCTCGGGGGAGCCGCGCAATGCTGTCTCACCCGACTTGTATGCTGAAGCATTCAGCGCCGCGGTGGACTACCTTGGCACCCAGGATCTGGTCTCGATCGACCGCCAGCGCATTGGTGGAGTGGGCGTCTGTGGCAGTGGTGGTTTCCTCATTAGCGCAGCGAAGATCGACCCGCGCATTCGAGCCATCGCGACGGCGAGCATGTACGACATGGGCTCTGTCAACCGAAATGGTCTTCAGCACGCCCAGAATCTTACCCAGCGCCAGGCGATCATTGCTGACGCCGCGCAACATCGCTGGACCGAGCTGGAGGACCCGAGTCAGACCCAGTACACTGGCGGTACCCCTAACGAGCTAACCAACGACACGTCACCTGTCGGACGGGAGTTTTATGACTTCTACCGGACCTCTCGTGGTGAATTCACCCCTGCCGGTTCGACTCCGGAGCTCACCACTCACCCGACCTTGACGAGCAATCTCAAGTTCATGAACTTCTATCCCTTCAATGACATCGAATCCATCTCTCCTCGTCCCTTGTTGTTCATCTCCGGCGATCAGGCCCACTCCCGCGAGTTTAGCGAGGATGCTTATGCCCGAGCTGTCCAACCGAAAGAACTTCTCTGGATTCCGGGTGCCGACCATGTTGACCTCTACGATCGCGTCGACCTCATCCCCTTCACCAGGCTCACCCAGTTCTTCCAGACAAACCTCGCTAGCAACGACACTGGTGTGGCTCGTCGTGGCATTAGCTCTGCCTAATCGGTCTACACCTGTCTCGTGAGGTGTCTCGGTATCAATCACCGGTCGTTCGGATTGTGACTTTGAGGGCTGCTGGTGAGGATCATGGGACATAAGACAACAACCTTCCTACAATTGAAGCATTTCAGTAAGGTGTTCAACGCCAATAGCATTCCTCCTACGCGATTGCCGATTCGGAAGGCAAGACCTCTGGCACTTGTTGTTACATCCCTCGTTAGCTATTGTGCAAAACCACCTGCAAGGCTTGCTCTTGGAGGCTGATGATTGTGACATACGGCCACAGCTTTGGCTCTTCGATGGATGTTCTTCATGCATTCCTTTCATTGTCAGCGGTGCAACGGTCCGCCAACTCGCTTTGTCTTTTTACTTCTCTTCCTTTTGGAAAAGCTTTCTACAGCAATAGAAATGCTGGGCCTTCGTTTAGGTAATCCTGAGTATGGTATCACACACTCTACTTTTAACGCTATGTCTTTTTGCACACACTTGTTTTCGTGCTTTTCTGTGCAGTTCTTTGTAAGGATGCGAATGGTGATGGCTCAAAGGGCATCAAACTAGACTCTACTGTCATGCTTTGTTATGTCAACACCGTGCATCCTGAATCCTTTGAACCCTTGTGTCTGACAAAGACCGCAATCCCCCTGGCACACATTAGGCCCTGGTGCTACTTGTAAGTCTTCATTGTACAGAACCGGAATTTTCTGCTACACTTGGTCAAACTATGTGTGAAGTCGTCATCTATTTGCTTTCTTCTTCTCTGCATACATGGTATATAAACCCCAAAATCAACCCTGTCTAATCGGAGATTCAAGCTCAATAGCCAAAGACGCAAGCCTGACACATACTAGACACCGTCTCAATTTCGGAAGCACAAGCTCATCTTTCTCTTACCTTCCAACCTGGTCAATATGGGACGTGGACATTACGACACTTCCGGTAGCAGCAAGCCTGCAGGCCCGGCACCACCGCCACCTAAGGAAGACAAGGACAAGAAGTAAGGTCTTAAGCAATCTCGATCTTCCTGCCACACTCGAGCCCAATGTCGAGCTAGTTGCCAGAAGATTAAAATACTGGGGATGAAGTAAGGTGTTTTCATACCTCGTCGTTTCCGAGGGTAACTATTGAAAACAAGGAAATAAAAAAAAGAAATTGATTGAACCCCTCGTCCAGGGGACGCTACCACTAAATGATTGGACCGTTGTTTTATGACAAACTTATTTTTCTTTCCAATGTTGTTAAGATGCTTTCAAAGTACCGGATCGTAGGGAGTCTGATTGAGAGCAAAATACTAAGCCTCTTCCAGGTACCTCTGGCAATCTTAGCAATGTTAAGACGTGTTCCTCTCGCAAAGCCAGCTTGACATTTCCCGATATTTGCAAAATATAGAACCAAAGCTCCAAGCAAACAAAGCCACGCATCAATTTTGACTCCCCGATTGATGGCCAGACTTATCGATCATGATATGGAACTCCATACCTTCGAGCATACACTCTCCTTTTGCTCTAAGCCGCCATGCGATCAACACGAAGCTGCAGCTCCTTGACCAAATCGATTCCCACCCGGGTAGCATGATCCAGCCTGTCATCTGGTAACCCGAGCAACCTATTCTGCGCCTTGGACGAGAAGTCACCCGAACCACCTGGGTAAAACGCCCTGGCGTACAGCATCTTGCTAAAACCCGCCATATTCCCCCGTTTGACCTGAGCAAGGCCATCCTCGTACCGCTTCTTGGTATCCTGACAAGTAATCGTCCAGTCTGCGTCAGTGGTAGAGGTCACATGCTTGACGCTGTTAAACATCTCGTTTTGGCTGACTACAAAGCTCGTGATGTACACGCCCTTGTTAAGAAACGTGGACAGGGTGAGGCTTTTGTCCCTATCGTCCTCGGGAAGCTCGTTGAGGCTCAGCAGTTTGGCCACGGCGCGTCCCACCTGCGACAATGTTGACGTCGAGATCTTGACGTTGCCATCGCCATAAACTGTCAGGGAACGGGCGTCGAAGTCGAACCCAAAGCGCGCCTCTCCACCCGCCAAGCTGTAATCGTACCAGAACCCACAACACACTGTGATCCACTGCATGCCCAGCCTCTCAATCTCGTCCCTGTGGGCTCTGGCGATAGGCCCCAGCAATGTATCTTCGCCAAATTGGATGTCTTCAATATCGCCGGCGTATCCGTTGGGCATCACGTAGGGAATACCAGCTTTGGCAGCCGCCTGGACAAGCTTGCTGTGGGTGTCTCGGGGCGCAGTGGGGGCCATGGTGATGATCAGGAATTGCTGGCCCCTGAGAGCAGCGACAGTAGTGGCCTCATCGTTGTAGTCGACCGAGGCGACTCGGACACCGTCGGGAACCTTGTTGTCGCTGTCTTTCCGGGAAATTGCCGTAACAGTGTGTCTTCCGGTGTCTAGAAGCGCCTGGGCGATGTGGGACCCAATGGTACCCCCAGCCTGGATGAGATGGTCAGTGGTGCTGTATCTCTCGATGCGGATCTAGGTCTACTTACGCCGACAATGGCAACTCTTTCGATGCTGTTTGTGAAGCCGGCGGGCTGGTCTTTGGCGTACATGGCCATGGTGGTCAGGGAACTGGTTGATTGTCGGTATTCTCGCTGGATGTGGTGCTAAATGAATTGCCCCTTTGGCTCAGGCTTGTGATAGGAACAGGAATACTCCCAGGTGACATCTATTTATGTTCTTCTCTGTGTCTCCTCCCACTGACAAAACCCGCGCCGGGCCGCCGCCGCCGCCGCACGCAAGGGTGCGAGAACGCTTCCTGATTGGCTGGTGCGGCGATAAGGAGGCCACCTCCGCAATAGCCGCAAATTAAGCCGCTCACGCAAGATATCTATGCTTTGAAAGAACTACCGGTCGCTGCGGCATAGACCATGGAAAAGTACAGGAAAGTGAGATTATTCTTGGTCCGGGGTTAGATGTGAACTGGCTATATGTGGGTGTTCAGTATATCGTATCGTCATCCATAAAAAGCCGATGCCGGATCTTAACTCCGTCCGACTTGACCATCATACAGCTTTGGGATTCTGGGCGACTCTAGTGAGTCCGTATGCACGCTCATCAGCGTCTTCATAGGGGAAGATCAGGACCGAGCATAGACAAGTATGGCTCAATGAAGAATTGGTCCCAGTTAATTTCCCAACTCATGTCTGGCATCGCAATATTGGCCTCAGCTGTCGGCGGTGTCTGACCAAACCCATATCCTGCTTCGACAGCTTCCAGCTGAGCCAGTTCCTTTCGCTTCTTGGTCATGGTTAAGCCGAGGAGGTGGCGCGCCATCGACAACGCCTCCCGCGTCAGTCCGGTATCGGCAGCCTTGACAAGGTGCTCCAGGCCCTTAAACGCACTGTCAATGTGGGGAAAAGCTACCGGAGTGTCAATGGCCAACAGAATGCAGCAGTATTGGAAGACGCTGCCAATCGCGTTCCAAAACAGATGACCCTGATCAGCTTGCCCCTTGGCTGCCTCCACTGCGGCGTTGCCGCTGTTAATGACGAGTTTGATGATCTCGTCTGGTATCTGGGTCTTGAGCTGGTAGAGCCGTCGATAAAAGCAAAATGCAAGATCCGCCTTCGTCACAACCAGGAACGGATGGCTTACTTTGGACTCATCCAGGGCCTTGAGACGATGATATAATTCCTGCGTGGGACTAGCAGGTTGTGTGTCGTACTTCAACGCTGCGTTGGGCGAGGGAATAATGTGGGCGAGTTGTACGAACTGCTCAGCCACGGACCCTGGGACGCAGATGATGGGCTGGCAAGTCACGGTCCGATATCCGACCGACGAAAGATCGTACTCATAAGACAGGATGTTATGCCCGGCCCACGAGATCCAGAAGATTCTGCGCAGACGGTCAGCACTATGGCCGAGGATGGCGGCGCCTGCCATTGAGGCCATCTTCGTGATGGTGACTTCCTCGTGCAGGCCGATGGCCTCGCAGAGATGCATTTGCGTGCACGAAGCGATCCAAGCATTGCTGGGCCGGGTTGTAGCTCGCAGGTAAAAGACTCGCATGCCCCACGCAACGATGTGGTCAATGCCATGGAGACGCATGGAGGAGGGATCGTCGAGAATCGCCTTGGCGTACTGCACCAGGTCCGACTCCCGCGGGTGTCTGCGTGGGGATAGGAAGGATCCGAGGGCCGCCACGCCGGCGGCCACAGCAGCAAAGGCGGCCGCATTGCTGCCAGAACCCCGGTAATAGTCCCAGCATCGCTGCGTGTAGGTGGTAGGGTCAATCACGTCACCGATGGGACCCAGTACGGTGAAGTACACCCCCGAGAAGAAGCCAAGGTCTTCCTCCGAGATGAGGTCACCCAGAAAGCAGTGAGCGTTGGATGCTTCTTCGGGGCGGACGCCAAAGTTGTAAGCGAATGACCGCATCTTGGGAGGACTCTCGGAGCCCAGAGCCACTCCAAGGATATGTGGGAATGCCATGGCCGCTGATGCCCCAGAGTATCGAAACCTTTGCTCATCAAAGATGCCGGGAGACGGCCCCACGGCCACGGCGGGGAGGGGAGTCTGGGCCGGCGAGTCGACTGGCTCGATCTGACCTCGGTTGAGAGTTCCCTCGTCGCGCTCCAGGTTTGTGCGCTTGGCTGGAGGCGGAGGATGGCCGTCGGTGTAGGTGCAATTGTAGCCGTGGGTGGTGCACATCCCACAAGGATACACGGCGTCGCATTTCCGCTTGCGCTGATGGCATGGGATGCATGCCTTCCTCGCCCGCCTCCGCTTGGTGATTGTCGTTGACATGACCTAGTCAAGCTGCTGCAAGTGTGGACCTCTACACATTGAACGAAAGCTCCATCCATCAACAGGTGGGAGGATTTCGATTCAAGGTCGGAGGCGGAAGAGACGTGTTAACCGTGTTAACCCCATGGGGCTAGCGTGAATCGATTTGAGTATGTTATTGTATTGTAAGTTACTGTAGGTTACCCCTAGTACTTTATGTACACTTACTGTTCACATACTGTACACATAATGTAAACATCAGTTCAGGTCTCCCCACTAGGTACGACTACCAGTGTCCCCCATCTTAGGGTCACGCCTATCAAAATTTTGGCTGTTCCCCCTCAACGCTTTGGGCGCTGTGTCTGCGGCAGGCACCCCCGGCGTTGTTATCATATATTTGCTCCAAAAGGATACTTGTAGCAATCAGAGCCCACGCTAATTCTGGACTTGACAAGTCAGTGGCCGGACCTGGCGTTGCTTAGCCTCCAGTAGGTCAGTAATCCCAGCATTGGTTCTTTTTGCTGGTGGCTACACCGTAGAGAGCGTCATGGTGGTGTCACGGTGGTGACGCATTCCGGTCTGTAGGCGGACAAACGCTCCGAGTATTGTTGAAGGAGGGGGTGATCATCCGGCATGTCGTTGATTGTACTGCCAACCAGGGAACAGAACAGACCACTTGGAAATCGGGACTGAATAATAAGTGCGTATGTGTAAGATGTAATTGGCATCCCGAAAAGACACAGTTCATCATAGAAATGCATCCAGTCCTATAGCTTTTCGTCTGCGACCCAACATAAAACACTCAATCCCGGGAAAGCCCTAATGTACACGCAACTCGTGCCTGTCTCAAGCCTGCCCATTTTCCGAACTTGTCTGATCACCACTATAGCGCCCAGCATAACAGCTTCAAGGCTATGCCATCCCTGCTCCAGTCTGGTGTGAATACTTAGTCCAGTCAATCTCCGGCTTGTTGCTTTTGTCAGTTCACATGGTGCCATGAGGCAGGGAATGAGCCAACACGGGAACTATGAGGCGCTTGACAACTTTGGAAGCCTTTCCGATGACTGTCTTGCTCGAGCTTTCATTCCGTCGCCTCGGAACCATCGTCAGCGAGCTCCTTGAGCTCGGTAGTCCAGCCCATCAATTGAGTCATGATAAGCTGCACGTCTAAGCATTATTATATGGAGTAGATAGAGACGGAAACTAGCTACAGGATCAGCAGCATGCGATGGAGTCCGAAATGTGCATCGGTAATCATTGGTCCGTGCAGCGCAGCAGCCCTGTCGATTGCTGGATATTGTAGCCTGCCTTAACTAATCTCAATCAGTAGTAATTCCCAAGAGACAGACACATCTAGGCCCTTCCGCGGGCCGTTTCGCGATCTACCTTGTTTCTCCACTTGATGCAGTTCTACCCATACTAGTGGTGCTTCTAGAGCTAACGGGAAGACGTGAAAAGCCCTGCGGAGAAGAAAGCCCAGCTTTCCAGCTTGTGAGATGGCCTCCTTCCTGACACACAGTATCTTTCCAAATGGAGACTAGCTCTTTCAGTTTCGCCATATCCTCATCGACGATCAAGGTCCAGCCAGCCTTTCCATCCCTGGCTGCTTCTGGTCGGAATGATTGACTTCCCTCTAGACTCTCTCGCGTAAAGTGACGACACTCTGTGGTATATGTCGTATGTTCTAGAGCACGAAGTAATTTTCTAAGCACTTCCGTAATTGGCCATCCCGCCTGATTAGCATACTCGACACCGGAGAACTTTGGCGGTCAAACTACTCAGGCCGGTAAGTGTGACCGAGCTAGAACAGATGGAAAGGAATGATCGATGGTGTTGAGGCGGCAAGTCACTAGGCTTGTGGGAGAGGGGAGGGTTGATTCGGCTCCATACAATGGCGTCATTCACAGGAAATCGGCAAGCGATTCCTCTTCTCGTGAGTCCATTAACTACTTCCGAGATCATAGATCACTGAGTAGCTTCCCTCACCGTTCGAGAGTTTAAAAGCAGGCTACATGTGCCCTTTCAGCTCCCTCTCTGGCATGTTCTCTTCTGCAGCGTTCTAACCACTGCGATTTCCTTGATTTATCCCCAAGGCACCAGCGGCTCTTTTACCTTTTCCACAATGGCACGATCTCAGTACTCTCCTCGATTTTCTGTCCTGCTTATGATGGCCTTGGCCCTGGCTGTCATGGGCATAGTTCTCCCCCCAAACTTTCCGATGCCCGATAGCGTTGCCGCGGCGCCACCTTGTGGGGAGGTGGTTATCCTGGCAGGGGAAGCAGCTGGCCCAGGAAAGAAAAGATGCATTGGGGCTGGGTGTCCTGTCTTATGCAGCCCACCGGTCAACGGTCCAGGAAACAACAAGAAGTCCGATGGCAAGAAGTCCGATGGCAAGGAATCCGGGGACAAGGAATCCGAGGAGGCGCTGTCCGAGGACCAGGAGACTGACAAGGACTCAAGTGAAAAGGACTCAAGTGACAAGGACTCAAGTGACAAGGACTCAAGTGACAAGGACTCAAGTGACAAGGACTCCAGTGGCAAGGACTCCAGTGGCAAGGGCTCCAGTGGCAAGGGCTCCAGTGACAAGGGCTCCAGTGATGAGGAAGTGAGCGAGAAGGAATCAAGTGGCAAGCAACCTAAAGGCAAACAGTGGGGCGGCAAGAATTCGAAGGGCAAGCAGTCCGATGCTAATGAAGATGGTGAGCAATCGATTAGCAAGCGATCCAACGCCAAGTTTGTCAGAAATCGCAAGCAACGGATTGCTCGGCAAGATGATCGCAGCCCCGCCAACAATGAGCAATCCGACGACAGCTCCAATGGCGACCGAGTGACCGACGAGTCTGTCGACAACAGCGAGGACCCAGATGGCAGGCAATCCAATCGTAAGCAGACCAATCGCAAGGGCCCCAATAGCAAGGGTTCCAACAGCAAAAACGCCGATGGCGAAGATTCCAATGGCGAGGATTCCAAGGACAACGATTCCAATACCAAGTCCAGTGCCAAGCAGTCGAACCGTAAACATGCCAGCAACAATGATTCCGACGACGAGAGTATCAATGAGGAGGGCTCAGATCACACGTCCGATAGCGTGCAGTCGGATGGCAAGCAATCGAGCGACGAGAATTCCAATGAGGATGACTCTTCCAATGACAAGAAGCCCAGTGGTAATGACTTTGACGACGATGATTCAAACGATGGAAGTTCCAATGACGAAGATTCTGAAAGCCAGCCCAAAGGCGAGCAATCGGGTCGCAAGCAGTCAACCCGCAAACAATCCGGTCGCAAGCGTGGCAGAGGCAAGCAACCCAATGATGAGACATCCGATGTCAAGCTCACGGGAGACGGCACTCATTCAGACGAGGAGACTTCGAGCGGGAATAATGAGGATGGAGAGGTTTCAGTCGACGCCTCTAAGTCGTCCTCGCACTGAATCGGACGATGAAACCGCCCTCGGAATGAACGTTTGAGTCGGCGTCTCGGGGGCAAAGGGATTACTATGCGATAGCGAGCTCTGTCATAAAAGTGGCTTATGTTCTTAATGAATCAAAATAGGGTATTGGATTAAGGAACTGACTCGCCAAGGGTGCGGGAAGGAAGCAATAGGAAAGGTTTTGATTTAGGGCACAATGCTAGATGATGGTTTTGACAAAGCCGAATGCCCGTAAAAGTACTTGCTTCTAAGTTAACCAGAGTGATATAGCGTCTATTGTGATTATATATACCCCCTCCAGGCTGAAGAACACATCACTTACATCACGACACAGATTGCGTTCGCCGCGGAGCCCAGGGAGATGTGGGAATCAGGAATCTCAGACGGCCGCAGTCGGACCTTGGACACCGGCACCGTCTGCTCCAACCACGCTCGATATTTCCTATGCTCACAAACAAGCCACAGTCTCAGAAAAGATTTTTCTTCCTTCTTGCCAGTGATTTTGAATTTGAAGGCATACATTCCGGTCAAAAGATTTTCAGCCTCGTCCCCGTCGCCAGCTTCGCGGAAACAGCGCGCCACGACACAGGTCTCGGCCCCGCGTGAGACGACCCCATGAAAAGGCGGAGCGTCGGGATAGACCCCTCGCAGAAGCTGGAAGATTGCCTGCAACCGTTCCTGTAATGCCTCAAAGTTCCTGTCCCTCGCCCCGTGCACCTGGATGTAGTAACGCCCGCGGGCGTATTCAACGATGCCGAACCGGTGATTGGGCATTGCTGCTAGAACGATCCGAGATGACTTTACTACTTACAGGTTGCATTTCGTGACTATACACTGTGGGTATATCGAAGTCACTCATAGGATTCGACTTTGCTTATATACTGTTTACATGACCCCTTGTCATCTCCATGTTGCAGAGTTGCTGGCGAGAAAACCTCTCAGCTTCGTGGCAGCAGGGGACATTTTCTTCGGTAGACAATGCAGCCTGGAGGGGTTCCATGGTTGCCGAATTCAGGAATGCAGAAACAATGATCTTTGTTCCTTTGTTCCTCCAAAGACAAAGATGAGCGTCACAAGACTCGCCGGAATTCTAATTCTCATGGACAAAAAGGCCATGGACATGTCACATGACTACCATCTATCCGACACATGGAGCCTATTCCCAAACGGGAAGTATGATTCCGCTGCCTGCCAGTGCAGTGCAGTGCCCAGTGCCGTGTTGTCGCTGGTGATTATGCCCGACATTGCCGTGCCCGGAGCCTTTGATCATGTGGTGGTGAGTGTGTCGGGGGTCATCCACACCGCGAGCCCTTTTGTGCTCGAAGTGTCTGACAACGAAAACAACCTGCTCCAGCCCGCTATCCGAGGAACGTTGAACATCGCCCACACAATTCATACATGCAACCCTAGTGTACGGAGATTGGTGATAACCTCCTCCTTTGCCGTGGTCCTCGACTTAGACCAAGGGTTCCGACCAACATACCGCTACACCGAAGCAGACTGGAATCCATGCAGCTATGAGATCACCCAGAAAACCTCCAACTCGAGCATAGCATACTGTGCATCCAGAGCATTTGCGGAAAGATATCTGTGGGAGTGGGTGACCGAGAACCAGCCCAACTTCACCGTGGCCACCATCTGCCCCCCGTGGATCTTTGGCCCTACGATCGACGTTGCGTCCAAGCGGAACGAGTCCACCGAAGTCATCATGAACCTCGTCAACGGCTCTCAGACAGAGGTGCCTGAGAATGACTTTGCCGCTTTTGCGAACGTGGAAGATGTTGCGCAGGCGCATCTCCGGGCGTACGTGGAGGACCTGTCGGCCCACGAGCGATTCATTGTTGCTGGGGGGGCGGTTCTTGTATCAGGAGGCATGCGATGTTCTTCGCAGACGGGTTTCCAGATCTGCGAAAAGCGGTTCCCAGGGGCATCTCTGGAACACGCGTGAAGACGTACATCGCCGACGGCTCCAATGCGGCGAGAGTATTAGGTCTCGAGTATCGGAATCTGGAAGAGACCTTGGTGGAAACGGTGGAGGATTTGCAGAGCAAGGATATGGTTTAGTCTGTCTATCTGTACATCTCACTAGCCAGCTGCAAGATCAATTGGTTCTCATCATTCATCTACATTGTATTGAAACCACCTAAAGGTATATGGAGTACTGTGAATGTAGATTGTGTCGGGGACTCCATTGATCATATCACGGATTGGCGGATTGGCGAATTGGCGTGGGCGTACTGGTCTCCAAAATTACCAGTATAATACCGTCACGAACGAGGCCGCCCGCCCGCCGCCAAGATTGCCGACCGTGATGGTCTCCTTTGTGCTTTGAATGCGAGTGGAAGGTAGTCACACTTCATACTACAAAAAATATACTTCTTGCAGGACACCAAAGTCTCAAAGTCTCAAAAGACTCAGTCAACTTCCGCAAATTGTTTTGAGGTATGGTAAGGCATGGATATCTTGGTACTAGGGAGGTAGGTAGTGCATGCGGGCCTGTCAGGTGCCCGCAGCCTACTTCCTAATCTGGAAGTATGTTCTGTCCTCAACTGGAGCGTCAGGCTCCAGCCTCCGAACAAGAAGCCCTAAGGCGCATCACTTCAATCCCCCAGTATCAAAGCATTCTTAATCCTCTAATCCCTACACCGCCTACAGTCACGCATTTAAATGTCGGGTCTCGCTCGTCGCTATCTCGACATGAGAACAGCCTTCTAGCAGCGAGCACCCGGTGGACCTTTTCCTTCCCTGGCTTATCCTAGCCTTTTCGCCTCGCACGCAGTAACCCAACATCCAGACTGCGGCAACTGTGACCAACATCTTTGTACCCCTCTATTATATACCGCTATACCTCCAATTCGTGCACGGAGACACGGCGATCAATGCAGCAGTCCGGCTGCTGCCTTTCATCCTCATCCTGGTCGTCACCAACATGGCGTCCGGGTATTTATTGCCCAGGATTGGTTACTAGTAAGGTCGAGCTGTGATTCGGAAGGAGACCTTAGAAGAATACTAACCAGGGGCAGTTAGGTGCTCTATTCCACAGGCCCTGGAACACCATACGTAGGGTGTTTCAACGTGTGGGTCGCAAGCTGCTATCTGATTAGTTAAGCACTCTGACACAAACCGAAGAGTGTTTTTAAAAGTCGATATAGAATAGTAATCTTATATATAAAGTAATAGTTTTTAAATTTAAATAGAATAAAACAAGCCTTATTCTATAGACCCTGGAATACTATATATAGAATATTTTAACGTGTGGATTACAAGCTGCTATTCGATTAATTAAGCACCCTAATACAAACTAAAGAATATTTTTAAAAATTAATATAAAATAGTAATCTTATATATAAAGTAATAGCTTTTAAATTTAGATAGAATAAAACAAGCCCTATCTATATTTATAATTCTAGTTTTATTAAATATTAGGTTTAATTTAAGCTTAATATAGTAGTTTAAAGCTGTTAAAACTTTTTAATATAACAGATAATAATTATAGTAGCTTAGTAATAATTAACCAGCTATCTAATAAACTATACAGAATAATTTAAAAAAATAGTTATTAAACAAAATCATAAATAAAAAATTTAGATTAAAACAAACTATATTTTAAGATAAAAAATAAATTTTTTAAATAGATTAATAGTCTTTTAGTTATTATTTACAAGTAATATTAGTATAAAGTTTAGTCTAAAAAAATTATCTATTATTTACAGCAACCGGTCTACTAAATTCTATACTAATATACTACAGAAATCCAAGATTAGATTATATAATAAAACTAGATTATTTTGGATTTTAATATAGTTCAATTTTTAAATAATCTTTAAAAACCTATTTTTAGTATTTCTATTTTTAATAATAAGTTGTATTATTATCAGAATTATAGAATATACAATTATATTACCCGCAGCTTGTAGAAAATACAGAACTACTAAAAAAAATCTATAATTAGACGCAGAATTCATACCGAGGTTAAGTTAGTATCTAAAAATATATAATTAATAAAGCTAAATTCTACTGCTTATATAAAATTATAGATTACTAATAGTTATTTTCCAGCCGGTTTAGATTATATTATATTTATATTTATAAAAATACTAAACCGCAGCTATCTTTTATAGAATAAGCTGACCAAACAGTTAATACTATAATCTAAATATAAAAGTATATATAAGCAGTATAAAAATAGCAGACTATTTAGATTAATTAGATATAAAATACTAACTTATAACTGTAGATAACTAGATAAATAGTATATCTATAGAATATTTTATCCGACCGGTTATTAATATATATAACTATATCTAAGAATAATTCTTCGGATTCGATAAAGTAGATAATAGCATAAATTTAAAATATTATAAAATAAATAATCTAAAAAAGCTAGTAAATAGTATAGTACTATAAATAAGCTATTTATATTAAAGCTGTATAGTTGAAAGTAGAATAAATATTATATTAACTATTATAGCTGTATATAAATACTATTAATATTACTAAATATATATAGCTGTAATAGTAGATTTTAGGATTTATTATATAGATTTAGATATTATATAAATAATAGAGCCTGCGGTATAAATTTATATCCCGGTAATAGAAAAAATAATAGATAATATAGCAGCTAATAATCAGCCGAACCAGCAGCCCTAATTTTATAAAAATAAATAACAGAATAACCAACTAGATAATAAATATATTTAAGCAGGCTTATTTAGAGTTTTATATTAAGCTGCTGAACTAGAAATATCAGATATAGGAGTATAAGAGTGGACTGGTATATACTATAGCAGTACTGGGCCGGTCGGAGTATAAATAATATAATCCTATTCTACAGGCCCTGGAACATTATATATAGGGTGTTTCAATGTGTGGGTTGCAAGCTGCTATCCGATTGGTTAAGCGCCCTGACACAAACCGAAGAATGTTTTTAAAAGTTGACGTAGAGTAGTAACCTTATATATAGAGTAATAGCTTTTAAATTTAAATAGAATAAAACAAGCTCTATCTAATCTATAAGAATTGGTCTGATGGATCTTTATCAGACCTAGAATAGGGCCCGGTAAGTATTCTGATTAGCTGATATATTCCTAGATATAATTTATCAGACTAATATAATATAATAGATTAGAAAAGAAAGTAACCAACTAAATTATTTAAAATTTTATTAGATTATAAAAATATTACTTATTTATTTATCTTTAAAGCAACAGTAAAATATATAATAAACTATCTAAATTATAGTAGATTAAAAATCTATAGTTTTTAGATAGGAATATTTATTAATTATAGTTATTATTATTTTATAACAGCCCAGCTATTCTAATATTAATATTATAAGATTATTCAAAAGTAATATTATTATATATAATTAATCTTAAAGCTAGAATATTTTATTTATTTTTTATTATATTAAAAATTCAGCTTCCGCCAACTTAAGTAATATAATAAAGAATATATATTTTATTCAGCTTAATATACTGCCAGTAGTAATTTATAAATAATACTAATATTAGATTTGACCTAATAAAATTATTTAT